TGTTAAAGAATTGTTAAACCAGTAATTAGTATTGTTAGAACAATAGAACTTGAATTTTTCAATGGGCTACGTGACTGCTAACTTCTTTACGCTACGTCCTGCGTGAGCGATCTAAAAGCGAACGCGATTATGAAGCGGTGACGCGGCGACTATGTCCTACGTGCGTGCGAATCGTTTCGTTTCAATTTTGTTTCCGATATTTTAACTAAACAAAAATATGATAGCACCCTATTTCAATACAGCAGTTCACGTGAAAATATAAAACTCATCCCACGTGCGTTTTGTCACGTAGGACGCGCCGCACCGCTTCATATTCGCTTCTAGATCGCTCACGCAAGACGTAGCGTTGTTATTGTAGACATTATGAATTAGTGAATCTTTCCTCAATTTTAAAAACTTATTTCTGATTTTGTATCGAAAAATATGTGAGGCTCAGTAGATTTAATAATTTAATAATTTTTAGAAATGTTTTTAAATTCGAGACACTGTACCTAATGTGTAAAATTATATTTATCTCACATTTTTTTATTGTACATGATGTAATTTTTTAATGAACACACTGTTCGTGTATTAGTAATATTTGAATAGTTGTGAATTTTACAAAACACTAATCACTTTGTTTACTAAATTTTTATGGTATTTTGTTTATTTAAGTTTTAGGACTCAGTTCCGTAGTAAACAATATTATATTAATTTTGATGCACATCTTTACTATTTTTAATTCAAATAAATGCATTACAGAAGTTTAATGCATACCAAAAATAAGAAACACTTGGTCTAGAACAACAGATGACTGTTTTATTCGACTTAAAAAAGGACGATGAACTACGTTTAGATGTTTATTTTTTTTGTTAAATTACCAATGTATGATAGAACCAAAGAACAATCAATCCATGAACATGATAGTGTAACTTAAGAATGACTATGTAATACCACCTATGTTACAAATAAATAAATATTCTGATAATAATTATGATTATTCATTTCAGTGATATGTGTAAATTTATAAAGGAATAAGATGTAAACCCTACAAACAATATTTAGATGTTTAACTATATGTTTTCTTCTTGATGTCGATAGTAAGTACTTACACTTCGAAACAGTACCTATTTGAACAGTTGTGAAAGGTAATAATAATTACACTAATCACTTAGTCTACTAAACTTTGATAATAATTTCTGTTCATTTCTTTATTTTTTGAATGTTAAGGAATAATAATAAAAGTTGACACAACGTTTTGTTTTACATATTTATTTATTGTTACTTTAGAAATAATACATTATAATATACTTTTAGAAAAAAACATTTATTTATTAGCTAAATTGAATAAGATTATAAAGGAGTTAACACATGTTGATCTTCGGCCTCATCAGACCACTGAAAGTTGTTAATCTCACTGGGATCACTTGGAGCTGGCAGCTCCGGTGGTGGAAGAAGTGATTCTATTTGGGCAGGAGCTTGGACTACGACTTGGTAGGGTTGTGGCGGGAAATTACCCGGAGGAATAACGTGCTGAGTACCATAGATGCACTGGGAATTTTGAGGTTGTTGTAGCATTAAATTTGGTTTCATCGGCGTAGATACTTCTGTGTAACTTGGGGCCATGGCCGGGTAGTGCATTATTGGCACCTCATTATTTTCAGGACTGTCACCAGAAGAACTTTGGCTCTCTAACCTGTCTTTCTTTTCTTTCATTCGCCGATTCTGAAACCAAATTTTGATGGTTCTCTCATTTAGGTGCAACACGTCTGCTAACTGCAGACGTCTATGTCTAGCCAAAAAAGGAGTCGACTTAAACTCATGTTCTAGCGCCAACAGTTGATCCGTCGTAAAAGCCGTTCTTACGCGTTTAGGCTTCCTATAGGTGGCTGGCAGACCCTGGGGTCTCGCTGCTGTCCATCCGGTCGGCTGTCCGTTATGCCAGTTGTGCTGATTTGGCGCAGTCACTGGGACTGACACAGCTGCACTCTGATGTGGTAACCATTGTGAGAGCTGTAGATAATAGGAAAAACATAAAATCAATGATAAAATTAAACTTCAAACGTAAACTATGACTACTATGAGGAAACTAACGATTCTATTACATGATCATAAACACCATGCTAGCACCGACTAAGTTTTGTACGATTTGACTTTTGATCAGAAATCGTATGAAATAAATTAACTCGTCGAGTACCGGTTTTGTAGACACAATTATAGAACAATAGGTTGTGGTCACCGGTGACCGCTTGGTGTTTGACAGTTTAAAGAACAAATTAAAATAAAAAGTGATTATATTACCATTGGACCTGCCGACACCGGTGCTGCGAAGCCATTGTTTGCATTATGAAATGCTGGTATTCCATGCGATGGGTTCATCTCGTGATAAATATCGACTGGGAAGGAAATACACTGGACGAGAGTAACGTATTCTGTGAAAGTACAGTTCACTATGAAGCCACTCAGGATTGTGCTCTACTTATATTTGCAACCCTTAATGATAGTGTAATTAGGGAACAGGTTAAAGGTTACTAAGTGATTAGCGCACTCCAATCCACATTAACATAGATTTTATTATTTAATGTGTTAATTATTATTTCGCATTATGAAATATTTTAATGAGTTCTACTAATTTCAGTGGATTTTCCAGTGTCGTAGCTAGATAAGCGGCATGATACAATTCGAAACAATAAGATTTATCAATGTTATATCAATCCGACCAATATCATAAATAGAAAATGAATTTTATTGCTACTCTAAGATAATCATATTCCATTTGCATGAACACACCAGTTGTATTTTAAACTACATCGTCTCAAAATAAATAATAGGTACCTATCTACTCGTTTGTCGGTAACTTCACGGCAACAATGTATTTGAGCTTTTTTAGTTTGCTATAGTAGGTAGCTTTGATGTTTTCCGACATTTCGTTTCGGTGCCGATATTGAGAATGAGTGAATCCATATTTTGCACATATTTATATACTAGATAATTGTCATTATTAACAATTATCAGTTATCAGCTTATGTCATTAATTAAGTAGTCTTTCTCCTTAAAAATGTTCCTATCTCCTGTTCGTAAATGAAAACCATTTCTTTTCAACTATTATACTCAGTACTTATGCATTTTCTTATCATAAATTGCAATGACGAGATATTTAATAATATTTTTCATCAACAGCTTTCTTTAACGTATTCAAAATATTGGGCCTATGCGGAAACCCGACGCATGGTAATAGTTTTTGGGAGATCTTAAAATAAATATGCTGAAATCACAGATTTGATGGTTTTTTCTAATATCATTGGGGAAGTGAAAGCATATAGATTCTGTGCCTCGGTGACATTGAAAGAATGGATAAATATGGAATTGTAAGGAAATCTTATCTGAGTCAACTACTGGGCGACGACCTGTAGTTGATCAGGGTAACATTGGAAAGATAGTAGCTGTAGCAGGAGTTGAGAGCTGATAATTGGCGAGAAACTTGATGATCCGCTAGAAATGGGAAGTATCGTATCGAATGCTAAGACGTAGGCTTAGTGAGTAAATAATTTTGGTTTTCTACTTAAATCATACTTTGTACATTTTATCATTCATACGTGATATGACTTGTCAATCACTAGGTATAATAAAGAGCAAAGTGGATATTGCTACTATCAAAACCTGATTATATATTTCTTCTTTATTACTATTTCTCTTCCATCGAAAGCTTATCATAATAATTGTAAAAAGTCGGATAGCTTATCATTACCTAATGTCATTTAAAATGGGCAAGTACCTACTTTCCACATTTTGAACCCGCACTCTGATCATGAGAAGCGGGCGCCTTAATGTCCGGGCCACCACGATATTTTTGCATACGTTATAATGTATACCCACACCACAGAACATATATTATCAACATTATTTTTATTTTCTGTGCGTATACCTATCGGTAGTCGTGATCAGGATCAGCAATTACGTAAAACGAAATTGTAAGAAATCCTACACGATGCACGTAAACAGTTCCTTGAAAATTAAAAATCAATTATTATCAAAGGGTTGCTAAACCAGTCATAAGTATTGTCAGAACAATAGAACTTGAATTTTTCATCGGGTCACGTGACTGTTAACGCCCTATTGTCTTTAATATTGTGGACATTTTAAGTAAGTTAAATTTTCCTCAATTCGAAAACAACTTTCCAATTTTGCACATCATTGTAAAGCAGATGAAGCTCAGTATCAGTAGATGTTTTTAAAAGTTGCTGGCATTAATCAACAAAATATTTTATTTCGAGACAGTGTAAGTACCTTAAATGTGTATAAAATCAGATCACAAATATTAAAGAATCAGTACTTTTATAGTGTATATAGGTAGGTAGGTAAGCATGTATCTAAGTATTATTTGAATAGTTGTGAATTTTAACATTAATACTAATCACTTTGTTTACTAGATTTTAATGGAATTTTTGTTATTTACATTTTCGTATTCAGTTCTGCAGTTGGCAATATTATATTTACGTTAGATCCGGTAGTTACGGAGCCTATTCAATTGAAACAAACAAAAAATCTAATCTTTCCTCTCTATACTATTAGTGAAGATAAAGATCTATAACCAATAAACGACATCAAGACGTTTAACTATTATATTTTGTTTCTTTTTTGATAAAAACTAAACAGTGACTATTTGAACAGTTGTGAAAGGTAATAATACTATTGACACTAATCACTTAGTTTACTAAACTTTGATAACAAATCCTGTTCATTTCTTTCATTTTTGCATTTTAGGGAATAAGATTTAAAGTTGACACAACGTTTTCTCTTATTGTATATATTTTTTTTACTTCACAAATAATACCAACATAAAATACTGATGACATACACGAGGTTCCGTGATTCGTGTGTGGACTTGACGAAGTTTTAGTAACATAGAAATGCTGATTATGTAAATGTGGTTGATATTGAGAAATAAGAAATATGTATTTAGAATAAAACATTTATTTACAACATTTTTTGATTGATTTAAACAGCTAAATTAAATAAGATTATAACGGAGTTAACATGTGTTGATCTTCAGCCTCATCAGGCCATTGAAAGTTGTCTATCTCACTAGGAACAATTGGAGCTGGCAGCTCCGGTAGTGGAAGAAGTGGTTCTGTTCGGGCGGGAGCTTGGACTGCGGCTTGGTAGGGTTGTGCCGGGATATTGCTCGGAGATATAACGGGCTGAGTACCATACATGCATTGAGAATATTGAGGTGGTTCTAGCATAAAATTTGGTGACATTGGCGTAGTTATTTCTGAATAACTCGGGGCCATGCTCGGGTAGTGCATTATTGGCCCCTCATTATTTTCAGGACTGTCACCAGAGGAACTTTGGCTCTCTAAACTGGCTTTCTTTTCTTTCATTCGCCGATTTTGAAACCAAATTTTGATGGTTCTCTCATTTAGGTGCAACACGTCTGCTAACTGCAGACGTCTATGTCTAGCCAAAAAAGGAGTCAACATAAACTCATGTTCTAGCGCCAGCAGTTGATCCGTTGTGAACGCCGTTCTTACGCGTTTAGGCTTCCTGTAGGTGGCTGGGAGACTCTGGGGTCTCACTGCTGTCCATCCGGTTGGCTGTCCGTTATGCCAGATGTGCTGACTTGGCGCAGTTACTGGGACTGACACAGCTGCACTCTGATGCGGCAACCATTGAGATAACTGTGGACAATAAAAAGTACATAAATCAATAACAAATTATTAGGTACTTTCAAACTCTCTTCAGAGGACCCAGTGCCCCTTACATGTGCTGAAGGTGGCCACCGGGGTGGTTTTAGTGAGGTAAGAATCCCACACGCCCTAGTCTTTCTCCCCAAAAAGCTAGGCGCCTCTTGAAGGTTTCCCCCGTCATCAAAAAAAAGGTACTTTCAAACTAGCTTCTATGAGGCAACTAATGTATTATAAGATCATACTCATCATACTAGCACTAACTACGTTTGTTACGATTTGATATTTGATCAGAAATCGTATGAAATAAATTAAAGTACAAATTAAAATAAAAAGTGATTATATTACCATTGGATCTGCCGACACCGGTGCTGCGAAGCCATTGTTTGCATTATGAAATGCTGGTATTCCATGCGATGGGTTCATCTCGTGATAAATATCGACTGGGAAGGAAATACACTGGACGAGAGTAACGTATGCTGTGAAAGTACAGTTCACTATGATGCCACTCAGGATTGTGCTCTACTTATATTCGCAACCCTTAATGATAGTGTAATTAGGGAACAGGTTAAAGGTTACTAAGTGATTAGCACACTCCAATCCACATTAACATAGATTTTATTGTTATTTAATGTGTTAATTCGTATTACGAAATATTTTAATGAGTTCTACTAATTTCAGTGGAGTCCAGTGTTATAGCTAGATTGACTGCATAATACAATAGGGTAGTTTACAGGGTAAGAAAATATTGGTAACCTAATTAGTCCGTCAGTTCGATAATGAAAAAATATTAGACAAGTATTTTTTTATTTACTCGTGTAAAGTTACAATACTTAGATAAAATGGAGTTAAGTTTGGGAGTTGGAGGTAGTTACGTCACAATGTGGTGCATTTTGTTCCACGCTGTGACGTCACACGGCATTTCAAATCAATATATCGACGAAAGCATTTAATTTTGTGAGAAAAGAAAAAATACGAGTCCAATATTTTAAAGTAATCTACCAGACGGACATTAAAATAAAATTTAGGAAACTACCCTATTCAAAACAATAAGATTTATCTATGTTATATCAATCCGACCAATATCGAATAATAGAAAATGAATATACTCTAGGATAATTATATTCCATTTGCATGAACACACCAGTTGTATTTGAAACCACATCGTCACAAAATAAATAACAAGTATCTACTCATATGTCGGTAACCTCGTGACAATGTGTGTGAGCTTTCTTTAGGGTATTATAATAGGTAGTTCTGATATTTTCCGACATTTTGATGCGCTGCCGACACTATGAGAATGAGTGAATCCATATTCTGCACATATTTATATACTAGATAATTGTCATTATTAACAATTACCAATCATTAGTTTATGTCATTAATTAAATAGTCTCTTTCCTTAAAAATCGCTGTTCGTAAATTAAAACCGTTTCTAGTCAATTATTATACTTAGTACTTATGCATTTTTTATTATAAAATGCAATATAATTTAATGGAAAATGTTTCATTAACAGCTTTCTTTAACGTATTCAAAATCTTGGGCCCTATACGGAAACCCAATGCGATGGTACTTGGCAGATCTTAAAATATGCTGAAATCACAGATTTGATGGCTTATTCTAACACCACTGGGGAAGTGAAAGCACACAGATTCATTGGTTCGGCGACATTGAAAGAATGGGTAAGGACGAAAATCTAAGGAAATCCTATCTTGGTCAAGTACCGGGCGACGATCTAGTTGACCACGGTACCATTGCAAAGATAGTATCGCTGGCGTTTGCGAGAGATGAGAGCTGTTAATTGGCGAGAAACTTGATGATCCGCTACCAATGGGAAATGTCGTTTTGAAGGCCAAGGCAAATAATTTGTTTGACAAAGAATTAGACAACTGTTCAAAAAGTATTTCGCATAATTTGTCTAATTATTATTTAGCGAAAAGTCTATTAAAAATTTCATAAAATATTTAGTATCGACAGTTTTCAATTCATCCTTTCATATTCAATATTATGCAGAGCACATGCAAGTAAGCATGCAGCGTGGAAGTAGGCATGCGGCAGGCATGAAACAGGCAGCAAGTATTGTAGAACATATCAACCTTCTTTATATGTTCTGTGCGTATACAGGATCGGTAGTCTTAGTAGGACCAGGAATTTCGTAATACAAAATTCTAAGATCCTACACGATGCACCTAAACAGTTCCTAGAACATTAAAATGCAATTAATTAAGTATTGTTAGAAGTCAGTAAGTATCCATCCGTGTGGTCATTGATGGCTGCTCATCCAATCCACTTGGTATTAATGCCGGGGTTCCTCAGGGGTCAGTACTCTCAGCAACACTTTTTTGTTGCACATTAATGACCTGCTCCAGCCCGGTATCTTTGGGTACGCAGATGACAGCACCGTTGTTGAGAGGTATGTGTCCGTACTTCACGCCGGAGCAGTTGCTCACTCTTTACCAAACACAAGCTCGGTCGTGTATGGAGTACTGCTCCCATCTTTGGAATGGCTCGGCGAAATACCAGTTAGAAGCCCTCGAATCCATCGAGAGGCGTGCCAAGAGACTCATCAATGACGATTCGCCTGTGGCAGCTCGGCTACAAAACCTCGAACACAGGCGCAAAGTCGCAAGCCTTTCGGTCTTTTATCGGATACATTTCGGTGAGTGTGCGTGGGAATTGCACAAACTTATTCCCCTAGTCCATTTCACCACTGTACCACCAGACGAACGGCGGGGCGCCACCATTATATGGTGGACATTCCACCTATTCGCACGAAGCGTTTCGCGTCAAGCTTCCTCATGCGAACCGCTAAGGAATAGAATTTCTTGCCAGAGAGTGTGTTTCCCGTCAAATATGACTTGGGTGGTCAAACGTAGACCTATAAAGTATAAAAAAAAAGTATTGTGGATTTTAGTGAATTTTTACTCAATTCGAAAACTTCTTCCCAATTTTGCACATCATTGCAAAGCAGGTGAAGCTCAGTATCAGTTTGCTGGTATTAATCAACAAAATGTTTTGTTTCGAGTTAATGTACCTTAAAGGGTATAAAATCTGATCAGAAATAGTAAAAAGGTAAAGAATTAGTACTTTAAATGTGTATACGTGTCCAAGTATTATTTGAATAGTTGTGAATTCTAACGTTAACACTAATCACTTTGTTTACTAAATTTTTATGGTATTTTTAACCGACAACGTCCCAAATAGGAGTAGTGTAAATGTTTATGTTGCTTTTTCTTCTTTATATGTACACCGATTACGTCGAGGTTTATGAACCGATTTGAGTGATTCTTTTTTGTTCGACGCAGAATAGCTGAAATTTTGTCCCATAAACATTTGATACAGATTGGATCAGCCACCACCATAAAAGTATACCTACTTTTATGGTGGTACCCCAAAAGTATACCTACTTTTATGGTGGTACTGTTACCTGATGATGAGATCCCAGAGAAATCGAGGGTAACCCTTAAATTATAAGCACTTATTATGTTTATTTAAACAAATTCTTAAAGGTTTCAACCATTTGTGTCTGATAATCATCATTGCATGTTCATGAGCTGATGATGGAAGGTACAATTCCATGATGGCTAGGAATTCAAAGAAAATACTTTCAAAACTATACCTACATATTAATCGAGAATAGTATCCTTTGAGGCTATTAGGTAGATCTGATTATAGAAGACTAATCTCGTTAGGTTTAGATTTAAATAGATGTGGGCAAATTTCACTTGACCACCATCGTAGTTCCGGATTTGGCAATATTATACTTATGTTAATGCATTTATTTTATTTATTTTAATTCAAATGAATGCATTTCAAGCCTTTAATGCAGATCAAGAACTATTTCTAGTTCTTGATCTGCATTGGCCTAGAATAATTGATAACAGTTTTTACCTGCTTAAAAAGAGACGAGGAATGTTTGTATGTTTTTTTTGTTAATTACCAATGTATGATCAAACTAAATAAAAAATCCATGAACTTAACTTTTACTGTTCATTTCTTCATTTTTTTTTTAATTTTAAGGAAAATAATAAAAGTTGACAAAATGATTTCTCTTATATATTTATTTATTTTTACTTTAGAAACAATACAACATTACATGCTTTTAGAACTAAACATTTATTTATCAGTTAAATTAAATAAAATTACAACGGAGTTAACATGTGTTGATCTTCAGCCTCATCAGGCCACTGAAAGTTGTTCATCTCACTAGGAACAATTGGAGCTGGCAGCTCCGGTAGTGGAAGAAGTGGTTCTGTTTGGGTAGGAGCTTGGATTACGATTTGGTAGGGCTGTGCCGAGATATTGCTCGGAGGAATGACGGGCTGAGAACTATACATGGACTGGGAATTTTGAGATTGTTGTGGCATTAAATTTGGTTTCATCGGCGTAGTTATTTCTGAGTAACTCGGGGCCATGCCCGGGTAGTGCATTATTGGCACCTCATTATTTTCAGAACTGTCGCCAGAAGAGCTTTGGCTCTCTGCCCTGTCTTTTTTTTCTTTCATTCGCCGATTTTGAAACCAAATTTTGATGGTTCTTTCATTTAATTGCAACACGTCTGCTAACTGCAGACGTCTAGGTCGAGCCAAAAAAGGAGTCAACTTAAACTCATGTTCTAGCGCCGACAGTTGATCCGTTGTAAATGCTGTTCTTACGCGTTTAGGCTTCCTATACGTGGCTGGCAGACCCTGAGGTCTCACTGCGGTCCATCCGGTCGGCTGTCCGTTGTGCCAGATGTGCTGACTTGGCGCAGTCACTGGGACTGACACAGCTGCACTCTGATGCGGCAACCATTGTGAGAACTGTTGCAATAGGAAAAACATATATTACAAGATAATAATCTCCATGCTGGCACCAAACTACGTTTAGACTTTTAATCAGAAATTGTATGAAACAAATTAAAGAAAAAAATATAATAAAAAGTGATTATATTACCATTGGATCTGCCGACACCGGTGCTGCGAAACCATTGTTTGCATTATGAAACACTGGTATTTCATTTGGCGGGTTCATTTCGTGATAAATATTGAATGGGAAGGAAACACACTGGACGAGAGTTATGAATACTGTGAAAGTTCAGTTCACTATGATGCCACTAAGGATTGTGCTCTACTTACATATATTTGCAACCCTTAATGATAGTGTAATTAGGGAACAGGTTAAAGGTTACAAAGTGATTAGCAAATCAAAGGCAGTTTTCCATAAATCTTGTTGTTGGTGAATATTTTAGAGGTATTATTATTATTTTTATTTTGTAAATCTATAATTTTATTTTTTTAATGAAAATAAAAGTTTACTTTTGTTCTTTAGTATTAGTCAGTCCACGTTAGGCAGAACCGTATCACTTAAGGTTAGTTACTCAAATAGTTGTTGAATAATATCAGATTTTGTCCGCATTAAAATTCTTTACGTACTTTAAACATCTAAGCTTTAAACACTTTGATATTGATACTGATATTCCGGGAT